ATATATGGGAAGTGTTGGAGGGGAGGGAGTGGGCATGGATTTGATCAGAACACCTTATATGCATGTATGAAATTTTCAATTAAGTTTTTGTAAAAGTTAAAAAAAAAAATCAATACTAGCTAGGCCTGGTGGCACAGTACTTGGAAGGCTGAGGCAGGAGGATCCCCTTCTACTTTCAAAAAAAAATCAGTTTAAGGCTGAGAATGGTAGCTTATAGCTGTAATTCCAACACCCGGAAACCAGAGGTGGGAGAATTGCCGTAAGTTCCAAGGTCGGCCTGGTCTGCACTGGGAGGAGTTCCAGGCAAGCCAGGGACACACAGTAAGATACTAACTCAAAAAGAATTTCTTTAAAGAGTCTGTTTGCTGTATCTCAATTCTACTTCCAAAAGTAGAATTTGAAAAGCTTTCTTTGAAAAATTAAACCGTAGTATGGAGGGTATGTGTCAAGATGCACTCAAAAATACCCTGCTAATGGCTATGACTGCTTTTCTTATCTTTCCATTAACCTCCATCACAGTAAGACAACTAACTGTAAGACCAAAGAATAGAACCAGGAGAAATTTGCAAGAACCAATAGTATTTCAGATAACCTGAACTCTATCATAAATTAACTATAAAATAGAGCAAGGTAGCTTAGCGAATTCAGAATGGAATTATTAAAAATCCCAGGGCCAGGCATGGGTTTTGGAGTTGTTGGTCAGTGGGTTCCATAAACCTCTAAACATTATAGGCTATTGTCATCTCTCCAAAACTTGATAGTAGGACCCTTTTGCTGAAGAGCCCACATACTTGAGTTATAGAAAACACGGAGAAATCAAGCTGGTACTGACTTGGAAGCTTCATCTCTACTGGCTAGCTTTCATGGTGCTGGAAGGTGCTGTGTATGCTACCAGAGGAGAAAAATAATCATCAAATCTTACCCAGTTGTGAACCTTCTGAGTTACAGTAACAACCAGACTGGCAAGATAGACCCACTGTTGCAATAGTGGCATAAATGTTATGGGTGTACAACCACTTTCTGATGGGATTTAAGGCCTGCTTCACAAGATAGAACTTATGCCTGGCACAGTTAACAAGGGCAAAAACCTGAGGCCAGTTAGGTTCACAGTCTCTAGGGGGAAATACACTCTTATTCTGCTAAATGGACACAGACTCAAACTTACTCTTAAAGACTTCTCTTCATGCTCAAAGATAACTGCAACCATCTCTCAACCCTTATCAGAGAAGCTTCTTCTTGCAGTAGATGGTGGTTAACAGAAAGCCCACAAATGGCCAACATGCAGAGACAAAAAAGATGTGGTGTCCCTAAATGGGACATCTATATTATACCCCATTCTCCAATGAATTGGGGATCATCAGGGAAGAAGGAGCAGAAAGATTTTAAGAGCCTGGACAGTGGTTGACTAGAGAAACTATTTTCTGGACACAACAGGACAGCTGCACAAATGAACTGACAGTGGCTGTGACTGTCAGCACAAGACCTGCACAAGATCAAGGCCAACAGGATCTCAGCCCTAGCTGAGGAGTTACTGGCAACTAATGGCTACTGGGAAAGGGAGAGTCAGTTTTCCTCAGGGGTGAGGTGCCTACAAGGACCCATGCTCCAACAGATGACCCTATACCCAGGAACACCCCGAGGTTAAAAAAGAAAAAAAAGAAAAGAAAAAATGAAATTGGAAGGGGATAATGGTGGTAGGGATAGGAGAGGAACTGAAGAGGAGGGGGTGGGGGTGAACATCAAAACACAGATGCATGTATGAAATTCTTAATCAAAACCAATTCTGGGCTCTGAAAGGACCATCTTCAAACATCATATAAGGATCTTTAAAATATTTCCTAGGAAATGATTTAAAATAATCTTTAAAGGCAGGGAAGGTCATCACTAACCCAGTGAATAACAAAAAAACAAATGAGATTTCAAGTTTAAAAACCAGTATCACTGTGGCACACATAACATGGATAAGAAAGGTCACCTACGCCATTCTCCTTTCTTCCATGTTCACCAGGAACTTTTACGCCATTTCTTTTCAGACTTGGATCCTGAGGTCTTGGTCCACTTGCTAAGCACAAAGAAAAAAACCATGCATTAACATTAGAGTTGACAGAAATTCTAAGAAGCTGTTTCTTTCTCTTTCTGTTATTGAGACTTAAGTTGAACATAAATAGCAATGGCATTTAGGTCTCATAATTCCGTCTGTTTTGAAAATTCCTTTACATAAAACAGTGAATAGCATTAAGGAATATCACACTCCACCATTCACTAGGAAAGCTGCCTGATTCACTTAGCAATAGTGGAAAAATTATTCTGACTCTGGGTAATTCAAATAGTTTGTTCAAGCCAGTTGTTCCTCCAAGTTCTCAGCACTCATCAATGAACTTAAAAAGAGCTTCAGCCCGGACTAGTGGTAGAGGCCTGTAATCACTGTTACTAGGAAAGCTCAAATGGGAGAATCCCAAGTTCAAGGCCTGTCTGGGCAACTTAGTAAATTAATGTCTCAAAATAAAAAATGGGCTGGGGGGCCAGTAGGATGACTCAGCAGGTTAAGGTGCTTGCCTCTAAACCTGATAACCTATCTGATCCCCAGACCCCACATGTTGGAAGAAAACCGATTCCTGCAAGTTGTCCTCTGACTTCTACACTCATATGCCAGGGCAGAGGCAAGCGGGCAAGGCACACGTGCAAACACACACAAATAAATTTATGTAATAAAGGAAAAAAATTGGTTTAAAAGATGGTTGCAAATATAACTCAATGGTAGAGTACTTCCCTGGCATGCCGGAGGTCCTAGGTTCAATGTTTAGTACAGGAGATGGGAGGCATTCATTGAAAGAAATAACTGAAAATTAAATCAATCTACCCTTGTACTCATTAACAGTTTAACTTTCTATAGGAAGGAAGTTTTGATTATTTTATTTATTGGAACATTCTGTGGAAATTCCTAAGTATGCTATGAAGTACATTCTCATTTATTTTTTTTAAATTCCATTTTTCTTAGTTTGGGAAAGTCTAACTGAAAAATAATGAGTACTCTACTTTATTGGCTAAAGAGAGCTTTTAAGCTAAAACATGTAGCTCAGCACCACTAAATGCATAATAAAAGGAAAATCATTAATTTAAACTAATACATGTAAGAAATAGCATCAACAAAGATAATTTTTAAATGTATTAAACTCATACATTTTCAGAAATTAAAACAATTAAATGACCTTAGAGGTTTTAGACAAAAGTTTCTGGGAATTAAATGTTAATCATGCCCATCAGGAAACTTAGAACAAATTCTTATGTCAATAGATAGTAAGTTAGCATGTCTAGCATCTGAGCCAGGCATCATACTTAATATAGAATTCTAACGTCTAACTTTTTAAATACTGCTTGATTATCTAACAAAATAGATACTTTATCAGTCTCTCTGTATGAAATGTTTTCCTGTGCTATGAATTAATTGCTTCCTTTCCTGTCTCAGAGCAATAGCATTCATTTCATTTCTTTTTATAATCAGTTACATAGAGCAAAGAGCAAGAGCTTTAAAAATCATTTCAACACACCGTTGGGCCCTAAGTCTTAGTTAAAACTGGGAAAATCCTATGCTAGCAGTCTCCTAACCCTCAGCAATCTGAACTAAACAAGGAAGCACAACCCTTCCTAGAGCAGACTGAAAAGCAATCCTACTTCATATACGCCTAAAACACTGTGTGGCACTGGTGTCTTACAACAATGTAGAAACAGCTCCTTTATCTTAACATTTCATTTCTCATATTACAGCTGCATAATGCACTATAGGGAGACTATTCAATAATTTACCCAGGACTACACACACAGACATTTGACCTGGGAGACAAATGGCCAGAATTCACCTAGTTAGAAATAAAGATGCACACAGAAATGTAAATACAGAACAAAACAAAAATAAAATACACGTATCAATTAAAATACATTTCTAGAGGGCTTAGAAAAAATATGTGCATTTAAAATAAAATTACAGATACCAATTGTACTAAAGGCAGATAAGCCAGCCTGGCTGAGGTGACCCGGCTCTACTCTGGGCTCTGACGACCACTCTACCTTGTACCTACTCTACCCTATGTCCACTCCACTGTGTCCACTCCACCCTGTATTAATATTTCTCATCTAAAGAGTAGAAGCCAGACCAAGCCGACAAGATCGGCCCCCATGACAATCATTTCTAATGGTCAGGTACCATACAGACCGTCTTACAACAATGTAGAAACAGCTCCTTTATCTTAACATTTCATTTCTCATATTACAGACACTGAAACTGCATAATGCACTATAGGGAGACTATTCAATAATTTACCCAGGACTACACACACAGACATTTGACCTGGGAGACAAATGGCCAGAATTCACCTAGTTAGAAATAAAGATGCACACAGAAATGTAAATACAGAACAAAACAAAAATAAAATACACGTATCAATTAAAATACATTTCTAGAGGGCTTAGAAAAAATATGTGCATTTAAAATAAAATTACAGATACCAATTGTACTAAAGGCAGATAAGCCAGCCTGGCTGAGGTGACCCGGCTCTACTCTGGGCTCTGACGACCACTCTACCTTGTACCTACTCTACCCTATGTCCACTCCACTGTGTCCACTCCACCCTGTATTAATATTTCTCATCTAAAGAGTAGAAGCCAGACCAAGCCGACAAGATCGGCCCCCATGACAATCATTTCTAATGGTCAGGTACCATACAGACCTGTGTGTTAATACTAAACTGAGGTCTTATAATATCCACTAATTAAGATGTTATCTATGTTCTTACTCCCCAAAATATTATCCTTAAATTTCATTTTAAAACTTCCAGTATTTTTAGAAATACAGAGTAATCCTGTGTCAACCTATGGCTTCCCCGAGAAGGATACTTCCCCACAGACTACAGATCCTTTTACGTCCTACAGGCTCCAGAGTTCCAGGGAAGGCTATACTTTCAGCCCACAAGTCTCCACCAGATGTATATCTTCAACTCTCTCCTGTCATCTATAAACTCAGGCCACAACTACATTATGGAGTTGTGACCACCTTGATTCTTTTATTCTCTCAACCACCACATCCTGTGTTTACTCTGGACCCTTGCCACCCAAGAGCTAGGTGGTATCCACTCCACCCAGCTCCAGCTCTGAAATTTCAAATCTCATCTTTCTACTTTTGACCACTCATTTGTTAATCTAACAGAGAAGTCAGGTCCCTGGATGCTGTCTACCCTTTCCCCATAGCCCCAACCTATCTTCAACCCTTCCCAATTGCCAACCTGACAGGATCACCCATGAGACAAACCTCTGGGCATACTTGTGAAGTATTATCTAGATTAGGTTAGCCTCTGGGCATGCCTGTGGAGGATTATCTTGATTGGGTTAACTGAGGTGGAACACCGGCTCACTATAAGTAGCATCATTCCCTGGGCTAACATCCTAGACTGCACAACAAGGAGAAAGTAGAGCTGAGCACAAGCACTCACTGGCTCACGGCTTCCTGATGTAATGGGACCAGTTGCTTCATACTCCTGCCACCCTGACTTCCCCACTATGACAGACTGTATGTACCCTTGAACTACAAACCAGAATAACTGTTTTCCTTAAGTTGCTTCTGTCCAGGTATCTTATCACAGCCACAAGGAAAAGTAACTAAGACACCCATGCAGCTTAGATATACTACCACCAGCACTGACCTCCCAGTGAGTTTGTCTGGCAAAACGCAAAGTCTAGGTCTGTCTGTCTTCTCTCACAATCCCTGGGCTACAGAGTACAGCCAGGGGAAAATTATGGGCTTCAAGTTCCCCATCTCAACTGGGCTCGATGCTTCCAGCAACCTGGTTTCTCCAGCAAACATACTTTCTTCTTCATAAGTGCTCAACGTGCCCATCCACCTCCATCACCATCACTTTCACATGATTTTACCTCCCGCCTCAAAGAAAACACATTTTCAGAAGAGAAACACTTAACCTTGTTCCCACAAATGCTCAAATTGAATTGTATCTGCCAGTTTTCAGGGACCTTGCTTTACCAAGCCTTAACACTTGTTATAATTCATAGACTATTATGTACCAATGTCTCTGCTAGGGGGGCGTTCATGACGAAGGAAGAAACGAACTTCATTCCTCTGATTTCCAAATCTTTGAAGAACATCAAACATTCGCTCATTATTAGCAACCGGGCGTTCTAAAAGAAAAGAGAAATCATATTATCTGCAGGAAAAAAAGACAAATATTTATCACCATCCTTGATGCAAATTATGTGCTACAAATAGACACTTGGCATTTTACATACGTTTTTCCTTTCATTAAAAGAACCCAGAAAAATGAAGAACCACAGAATTTCCTCACAATCAGGGTCAAGTCAGCGTGAGGTGCTAGAAAGAAATGGGTCTGTGCCAATTGTTGGGGTCTTCAGAACAATTCAGTGGGCTCTGAACTGGCCGTGGGCATGTCATTTAATTTCTGTGTGTTTAAAGGTTTGTAAAATTTATTAGGTCAGAGACCCACCCTCACTAATATGAGTCTCTAATATATGAAGAAAAAATTTAAAAGTAATTTCCTAATAGTCTTAAGTTTTAAGCTAAAAGTCTTTAATACAGGAAACTTCCTTGTCTGGGGTACTCTGTGTGTGTCTGTGTACATATACGTACATATGTGCACATATGAAGGCCAGAGGCTGACATTGGGATATCTTCCTCTATCACTTTCCACCTTATTTTCTGAGACAGGGTCTCATCACTGAACCTGAAACTTGACATTTTGGCAGCCTGGCTGGCCAGTGGCCCCTGGGATCATGTGCCTACAATCCCCAGTGCTGGGGCTACAAATGCCCCCAGCAACATCTGGTTTTCACATGGGAGCTATGGCTTCTAATTCAGGTCCTCCTAGGAGGTACAGCAACCACTTTCCACTGAGCCACCTCCCGCAGTCCCAATACAGGCTTTTTCTAAACTATAATTTTGTAAGCAATGTTAAGAAGTCATCTATTTACAAACAAAACACTATTTATTACAGTGATAACATATCTGGTCCACTTGCAACAAGATTGCCAGTTTTCTGAACTTTTCTAGAGACAAAAAGAACAGCACAGCGAAATACCTCAGTAACTGCACACATCAGGAGAAACAATGTATCCTGAGTTGTCCTCAAAAAAAAAAAAAATTTTCCTACTTCAGGAAAGGAAGATGGATTAAAAATCCAAATGTACTAAATAGAGAAGGCAAATGCTTAAACTCAGAAATGCCACAATAAACTTTTTAAAGAATGTTACAATAGCCTATAAAACCACATACCTATCAGTAATCCAAGACAGCATCTCTCAACACCTTAAATAAACCTACTCAGACAGAGCAGGGCAGCCAAGCATTGAGCAGCCAATTCTGTGAATTAACCCTGAACTTAATCTGCTTGGTTGGAACAAAGTGCATGCAGTTCTGGTTCTACTACAAGTAACAACTTTCTACAACCACACAAACTCTAAAGTTCCCCCAAAAGAGGAAAAAAAAAATCCTGAGGAGACACTTTCCAAAAGATATTCTGAACTGACACTCCACTTCTTCCCCTACCCTCATCACAAACGGAGGAAGGGAGGGGACAGGAGGGAAGGGAGGGAAAATAAGACCAGGTTCCTAGAACAAAGAAAGAACGTAAAGGAAGGAGGTTAACTTCCAGATCAGGTAATCCTCCTGGATAGGGGTCCCTAGGCATAGAGGTTAGAGCAAAAGACCAGGTGTCCTGCACAAGCTAAAAGAGATGCTTCATATGTTCCCAGTGTCTTACTGGCTAACACCTCATGCTCCAACCACGATCACCCCTTCCACTAGGCACTGCTGCCTGAGGGACCTGCCTTGAACATGTCCTTGCTAACACTAATCTTTGTGCTTGTCGCCCTTTTCTCCTGAGGATGACATATATCCATCTCCTCCATTTACTGCCTCTGCCCTTACTGCATTCTAACAGGAATGTCTGTTGACACATATTCTCCTGCATGCTGAGATACTGGTAAAGCAGAATACTTCCATCTCTGCATCCCTCAAAACCTAACACACTGGCATCCAAATGTTCTCCAAACAAATGCATGAGTGGACAGAAAAGGAAAAGGAAGGAAAAGAGGGAGGGGAAGAGAAGAGGACTTAACACAGAGTGAAGCAACAGGAGATTGTACTGAAGGCTTTGGAGAAAGCATGAATTTTTTTTTTTTTTTTTAGTGCTGGGGACCAAACCCAAGGCCTCGCACAGGCTAGGCACATGCTCCACTACTGAGCTACATGCCAACCTCAAAGAATTTCTTTAAATAGCATTCAAAATGCCTAAAAAGTCAAGAGAAAAGATAAGAAAAGCTAAAGAAATATGAGCAGAGATAAAAGATACCACCTGAAAAAATGGAAACCAAATGGCCAGCAAACAAACAAAAGGCAAAAATGCAAATTTTAAACCAAGTCCAGTTTTCAGTCTTCAGTTTAGCAAAATTTAAAATAGTGTAAAAGCTATCTATGAGAAATATGTTTAGGACTAACTGGAAAGATGATGGACGGCCACACTGTGGCAGCACAGCATGCAGAAGACCGAGGCAGGAAGATCCAGAATCTGAGACAACACCAGCTACACAAGACCCTATCCCTATATCAATAATAAGTGTATGTTAGGACGACGAAGCGCTTTATATACTATCATTACCATATAGTAAGGTTTACTGTTCTCAACTGAGCAAGACATGAGAGATGAAAGGCTAGACCGTATGGAGAGCAAGACACTACGGAAAGGAGCAAGGAAGAGATTAAAGTTTGAACAAAGAGAGGGAGTATTTCTTCCACTGAGAAGAGTGTACATTTAGAGGGAATACGAGGTACAGAGGAAAGAAACTGAAGAAGCTCGCAGTGGTTTCCATGATGTCAGTAAAGTATGAAGCAATTGCTGACTGTAAGATTACAGAGGGCAGCTAGTTCATTCACTCATGCAGAAAATATTTTCTGAGTCCTTAACTAAGTACTAGGCACTGCCCTCAAGCTGGGGATGGCGCATAGAACAAGACATGCTGGGTCTATACTTTTGGGTAGTTTACACTGCTACTGCATGTGCTTGGGGCTGTTGGGATTAAAGAGGGAGCAAACCAATAAACACAAAAACTCCAAGAGGAGCGTGTATGCTGAAGAAAATCAAATCAGGACATCAGAGAACTTCGTGATTATTTTAAGCGGGGTGTTTGGGAGAAGGCTCTCTAAAGCTGCAATATTTTAGCTGAATAATTAGATGTGATGTTACATATCTACGATCCCAGGACTTGGGAGACTGGGACAAGAGGATCACAAGTTCAAGGCCAACCTGGGCTGAAGAATGGGTTTATGAATGTAAGCATGAGCTATATATAACAAGACCCTATCCCCCAAAATAAATAAAAACAAACATTTTAGCTGAAATCCGCTGAAATCCCAATGACTAGAAAGAACCCACAATGACAAGATCTGGAAGGAGTGCAACACAGACTGAGGACACAGCACTTGGAGCCAATGCCAAACTAAGGCAGAAAGGAGATTGGCATAGCCAAAGAATATCTGAGAAACTGGGGGCTAGGGGTGAGGGGGGGTGGTACTAGCTGACACCAGGACAGCAAATCCATGGGGCTTTACAATTCAGAATAGTTTGGGTTTTACTCAAACTGGAAGAGAAATCACGGAAGAAGTTTTAAAGCAGGAGAATGAAATTATCCAATCTTCAGATGAGAGGCCACTTGGGCTTCATATGCAAATGGCCTATTTGGTGGTTATATGACGGGAAAAGAAAGCAATTCAGAGTGCGAAACACCTCCTACAACATCCAATGTGGGAAAGCCAACCAAAGATGAATGAAAGGCCCTGCTTAGTAAGTGAGAGCTCAGCTACATCAGATGTCATCAATGTGGGAACTCAACACAGTATGTACCTTGCTCTGAGGGCATCTGGCCCAAAAAGGGAACAGGTGAAGTTGACGTTCATTGAATAAGAACAAGGCAGAAATGATGAAAATTATTCCCATATCTACAAACTCTTATGGGGTCAAAGAAAGCAAGCTGTCCCATTTTTGAATTCCAAAGAACTATCGTTAAGAGACCAATTTCAAGACTTACAATCCCGCCTATGACATCACTACTGCCTTCTGCCAATACAGTTCCTTAGCACTGAATAGCTTTCCCTTAAAACACACAAGAAATAAAAGGAAGGCCAAGAGCCAGGATGTGGCTGAAGGTAGACTGCTTGCCCAGCAAAGCTCTGGGTTGGATCCTTGTGATGGTCAGTATTAACTGTCAATTTGACAGGTTCTAGAATCGCAGGGGAAATGGATCTCTTGAAGAGTTGGGGATTATCTTGATTATGTTAACCTGTGTGGGAATGTCCATCTTAATTCTGGGCAGGACCATACCCTGGGCAGGCAATCCTGGACATACAAAATGGAGGGTAGCTGAGCATTAGCATACACTGTCTCTGCTTTTTGACTTCAGTTGCAATGTGATCACTGCCTCAAGCTCCTGCCTCTGCCACCTGCCAGTCGTGACAGACTGTAGCCTAATTCTTTCTCCCTTAAGCTGCTTTTGTCCGAGTATTTTCTCACAGCAACAGGAAAAGAAATTAAGACAATCCCTAACATCAAAGGAAAGGGAAAGGCAAAGAGCAGGAGAAAGGCGCAGAAAAGGGAAAATAGGAATGCCTCAAATTCTTATTAAGGGAAACTTAAAGCTTTTTTTCACAATATACAAATACTTTTGAGTACCCAACATTTGACCGTATTAACTCCCCCAAAGCTTCCCGCCCAACACATCTGGCACTTGTCCTATGACCTATAACCTTTTACATTTATTTTTGTTGCAGAAAAGGAAACAAACAAACAAAGGCTTATGTCACAAAAAGTTGGACTGAGAACACAATCTCCCAGTGCATATGCTGTGGTGATCTGAATGAGAAATGTCCCCCATAGGCTTCAGGTATTTGAATACTTGGCCCCAGTTGATGGTGCTGTTTGTGGAGGTTTAGAAGGTATGGCCTTGCTGGAGGAAGCAGGACATTCCTGGCCTTATGGAGTTTGCAGTTTGTCTCTCTGCTTCCTGTGCCTGCTTGAAGGTTTGAGTACTCAGCTTTTTGCTCCAGCAGCTTCTGTCACCATGCCTCCCCACCATGAGGGACTGTAATTTCTGTGGAACCATAAACTAGATAAACTCTTCCTTTGATAAGTTGCCTCGGTCAGTGTTTTACCACAGCAACAGAAAAGTAACTAATACATGTGCTGCTGTACTGTTTGTGGACAAGCACAGCATTCCCCTGCACTGCCATTTCTGGAATGGGAAAGCAAGAGAAGGCCGCAGAACTAAAGCAGACAGCCGGGTTTCATACCAGAGCCACACCATACTTCAGCCAGATGGCAGTCACTCTCTCCAGGCTCTTTGCAGAGATCCACAACATCTCTGCATATTGTCTCTGGGGTAACAGGAACTTCTGTGAAGTGCTGCTCGTTGTTACTGAGGTACACGGTCAGAAACATCTGAAACAGAGAGAAAACTGTCACCGGTCTTGTCTGCCCAGAAAGCATTCCCTTTAGATCCCGTCTACTACAACAACCTAGTCGCCTCTGGTGGAAGTGAGGTAGCTCAGGGCTGGGCCCAGCCTACTGGATGGATCCCTGTCCTTCCCCAGACACTGCGTCGCCTCTGGTGGAAGTGAGGTAGCTCAGGGCTGGGCCCAGCCTACTGGATCCCTGTCCTTCCCCAGACACTGTCTGCTGAAGCCACAGCAGTTCAGGTGGAAGTGCAAAGTCAATCTTTTTCCGCCAGTTTCATTTGCACTATTTGTTTACCAAAAACTTAGCTAAACCAATACTTCAAACAAACCTTTCTGTGAATGTTTTCAGGGTCCATCGCAGCATGTCATATATACGTACTTCTAGAGGTCTCTCTTTTTGGAAGGATACATAAAAATAGAGGAAGTACAGCTTCTGATAGTAGGAGATGGGAAACAGGAGAAAAGCTTAGAAGGAAAACTTGACTCGTACGTTACAACCTACCTGATCTTGTATATAAGCATTCAGCCCAACGGATAATTAAAATCTATTGTAACTCTTTCTCCTAGTGAAAATAAATAAATAATTAAAATCTATTGTAACTCTTTCTCCTAGTGAAAATAAACACAACTAAAAATATTGCTATCAAAGACTTCATATTTTCGTGTCTATTAAATGTTGAATTTTGGGGGAATTTGAGAGATGGCTCAATAGTTAAGAGCACTGGTTGCTCTTGCAGAGGACCCGGGTTTGGTTTCCAGCATCCACATGGTAGTTAACAACAACCCGTAACTCCAGTTCCAGAGGATCTGATGTCTTCTTAGGGCCTCCGTGGGCACCAGACATGCACATGGTGCACTAATATACATGTAGGCAAAACACATATACACAAAAAATGCAAATAAAAATTTAAAAAAAAAATGCTGTTGAGATTCCTAGTAGGAATGGAATGCTTTCAGACTGATTACCTCAGGACTGTGCATTCTGATAAGCTGTACCACAAAACCAAAGGTAGTCCTAAAGCCTCAGCTTTGCCAACAAGGCAGGACTTAAGCTACACAAAAATCCTAACACCTTGAAATCACTTGGAAAAAAAAACTAAGCAAACTCACAGAAAGCTATTCTCTTGCTGCTGGGTCCAAATACCCAGCATATTTAATGACGGAAACAAAAATTTTACACTTAAGTAGCACTTCTCCACACTCCCCATCAACACCAAAACTTTCTTTGAAGCTTATCGCTTTAAAAATAGCAACTGTCTTCACTGTAAGTACAGGACTTAAAGATCTTTATTAAATTACAGGAACACCAGATAGCTATACATACACTAAACATACTGTATCAACAAATAAAATACTGTGGTACCTAACAGCACCTGTGCATACTTACTTTGGCCTTGAAACATGCTTTCCCAATGCATTATCTAGCAACTCTCAAATAGAGAAGGTAGTATTTGCTCTTTATCAATGAGGAAAAAGACTCAGGAAAGTAAGTGATCTCCTTGACTACTGTAATGAGAAAGTGAGAATACAACTCTGTTCTGATCTATCCTCAAATCTTCTGTCCCTTTTACCAGGAAAATACTAGGAAACGTTCCACTTAACCAATCACCCGAAGTTGAAGAGGTAGTCTTTTTCTTTCTAAAAAATCAGTGGCTCCACTTATTTTAAAGCATACCTGCAAATAAGAATTATGAGAGAAGCGTTCCTACCTAGGGGCACTTCCCCCGTGGGACTAACAATGGGATGCATGACAAGGCCTGAGCTGACCCATTTCCCCTTCCAAGTAAAGATTAACTCAGTAACTGTCCTGAAGTCCTTAATGCTGGAACAGTAACAACATTTCAGGGGATTCCTAGGCAGAAGATCTAACTTGAACCCCACAATGGTTCTTTACTAGACTGCCTTAGGAAGGGCACCCCTTTGAAACACTCTCATCTTTAGTAAATGTTCTCCAGGTGCCAGAATAAAAGCCAGCACTGACAGCAGCCTGCAGGAGCCCATGCAATCTGATCTGCCATACCAACAATGCTGCCCCCATTTCCTTTACCCCCCTCACCCCTTCCCCTGGTCTCTGCTCCACCAGGGTCCTCACTGTTATACAGCATGCCAGGTATGTGCCCACCCTGGAGCTTTGCACTTGCTGTTCCTGTTGCCCATGCTCTTCCCCATAAGCCAGTGCAGCTTGCTTCCTCATTTCCCTCATGTCTATGTACTTGTCACCCTCTCGATTACATCTTCCCTTGGTTACCCCACCTAAAATACCAACAGCAAACACACGCCAGCTCACTGCCTCTACTTGACAGTCACAAGCACATCATTCGTTACAGTTACGTAACTCATTTTGCTAATCTGACAGTCCTACTAGATTGTGAGTGTCTTTCAGTCAAGGGCTGGCTGCCTTTGTTAGTGCGGTGCTTTCAGCACTTCAACGGTGCCTGGCATGTAGCAAGCACACAATATGCATTACGTCCTGTGGACAGTACTGCACTTTACAGGTGGAAACACTGAAGCACAAAGATTAAGTTAACTTGCCCAGGTCACACAGCTATTAAAAGCCAAAGCCAAGATCCAAACCCAAACTGGTTTCCTCAACAGCACACACAAGGCCAAGCATGTCACTGCCACTAGTTCTACCTTTCAGAGGAATGATTTTTCCCACTGTACATCCTCTTGACCCTGGCTTGTTCCACTTAGATCTTCTCCATTTAGGTAGCGCTAAATGGTCTTGCATACGTTACACAGTAAAACTATATACTCTGAAACCTGTGTCTACTCATTTCTTCAGCTCACACTCTGCTACAGTCATTCTACTTCTCTTCTGATGTTCTTCCCATTCATCCAGCATCTATGGTCTGGGTTCTAATACAGAAATAATCTGTGAGATAGTTAACAAAATTCAGACAAACAGAAGGGCTAGGGAACGACAGAATGAGAACACGCAAGTGTGCTAGCTCAGAGGAGAAGACAGAGAGGAGCCCGAGTTGGCGCCCTCTCTCTCCTACCCTCTTCCTATTCCCTACTGTGCAAACCCAAGGAAAAGCCAGATGGCAAAAGAACAATGATGCATGTACAGAAGTCACTTTCCTGAGGCCCAGGTGAGGCAGATGAGCATGGAGGGAGGGCATCGGCGGGGGACACAGAGCCCTTCAAGAGCTGTAACTCCTCTGTGGTGCCGAGAGCCAAGTAGGCAGCTACCATCCACAGGAATGAGGCCCAAGCCTCACTAAGGTCTGGGAGAGCACATCCCTGGAGGGAGCAAATATAATGGCAGGGAGGGGGACCAGGCTGGTCACATCTGTGGAAGAGGAAGGTCACTGCTGGGGGAGGAAGAGGAAAGGATTACAGGAGATTAATTTAATGATGCAAGTAGAAACCAGCATGCAGGTCTTTAAGAGCCACAGGTTCTTAGACTTTGGCGAGGACAGAGGCTAGCTAAACAAAGATTGTTGGCCCCGCCCTGACAGGTTCTGACTCCATAGATGGGGAAAGGGGACTGAGATCCCTCTGGTTTTTTTTGTTGGGTTTTTTTTTTTTCTTTTTGGTCTTTTTGAGACAGGGTCTCCCTGTAGCCCCAGCTGTCCTAGAACTTACTATGTAGATCAGGCTGGCCTTGAACTCACAGAGATCCGCCTGCCTCTGCCTCCCGAGTGCTGGGATTAAAGGCACGTGCCACGACGCCCGGCTGATCCCTCCGTTTTTTAAAAATTTTATTTTTTGTTGGGTTTTTTTTTTTTCTTTTTGGTCTTTTTGAGACAGGGTCTCCCTGTAGCCCCAGCTGTCCTAGAACTTACTATGTAGATCAGGCTGGCCTTGAACTCACAGAGATCCGCCTGCCTCTGCCTCCCGAGTGCTGGGATTAAAGGCACGTGCCACGACGCCCGGCTGATCCCTCCGTTTTTTAAAAATTTTAATTTTATTTGGATTAAAGGCACGTGCCACGACGCCCGGCTGATCCCTCCGTTTTTTAAAAAAATTAATTTTATTTTTTTATGTGTATGCATGTATTGCCTGCATGTAGGTAAGTGCACCTGAGTTGTGCAATGCCCACGGAGGTCAGAAGAGGCCACTGGATCCCCTGGGACTGGACTTACAAACAGTTGTTAGCTACCATGTGGGTGCTGGGATTCGAAGCCGGGTCCTCTGCAAGAATAACCAGTGTTCTTAACTGCTGAGCCATCTCTCCGGCCCTGACCCCTCCATTTTTAACAAGTCCCAGGTGGTGTGGACACAATTAGTCCAGAAACCACACACCAAGAATCACTGTCTAAGGCCATGGAGGGAGGGGGTATGCACAGAAAACTTGAAATACCCACTCGACATTGTGTAGAGGCATTTAAAAAGTCCTAAGACTGGAAGAGAGCTGCTGGAGACAACCAGAGACAGAAAGAAGGTGGAGTTTTGTCCTCTGAGCTAGCCAAACAACACGGAGAAGTCTCAGAGTCAAGGATCCACTAATTAAAAAGAAAACAGGCAGAGGGGCTGAGGAGATGGCTCAGTGGGTAAAGAGCTTGCTGCACAGGCATGAGGACTTGAGTTCAGATCCCCAGCACCCATGTGAAAGTCAGGAACAGCACTATTGTAACCCTAGTACTGGGAGGCTTGCTGGCCAGCTAATTAGCCAAAACAGAGCTCCAGGTTCAGTGAAAGACATGATCTTAAAACAAGGTGGAAAATGGTAAAGAAAGCTCTGGACTCCACATACACACGCATGGGCAAGCACACCCACATACAAGTGTATACATGTACATACACCACATATATACCTTTCTCCACTCCCCACCCCCCCAAAACCTCCCAAAACAGAAATCATCCAGAAGAGAGTGGCATACCAGAATCCAAGTAAAGAGAGTGTTTCATTAAGGAAGATTCGATCAACTGAGCCAACTGGGGTCAGAGGTCTAAGAAACGAGGGCCGAGTGTTAATCATGGGACCTGACAAGACAGAGGTTAACTGCTTAGACAAGCACTGGGTCAAGAGGGACA